ATATTGTACAAAGGCGGACTTAATGCCATTAGGCATTCTCTCCCAGTCAACCTTCAGGTGATGTAGAAATATGATGCGGTAGGTGCAAAATAAAATATGATATTAACATAATTTAGGTCCAGAAACATACACAATATAAAAACACACATGCATACATAAACCTACATAAATTTAATAAAATATATAAATACTCAGTCGGGAACTAGAGCTGTAACTATTTCGCCAATTCACCCCGAAGAAGATCGCGCACTTTTCCCTTGAATGCAAGGCGATTTGTTGACATCCTGATTTCGGCAGGGAGGGCATTCAACTTTACAAGTACCTTTCTATTTAAAAGAAGATAATTTATTGAAAAAATAACAAAATCCCAACTACGTGAAAATGAATATACCTAGGTACTGAAAATTTACAAACAAGTAATCCAAATTTTTATAATGTTCTTATACCCAGTGTCACTATCACAATCGAGACGAATCCAAACAACAACTCTCAAGTTAAAAACCCATCCAAGCCAATAAAAATATACACACATGCATACACCTAAAGGCTTATGTCCAGCAGTGGACTATTAAAGGCTGTTGATGATGATACACCTAAAAAACAAAAAGCTATATTCCCACAACTTAACTGCATTAATCTGATAATTGCTTCTAAAGTTTCTTTAATGAGTAGGTAAATAGCAAGTGGACCAATTTCTCTTCTAAGCAGGTTTCAACAGGATCACCTGTTAAACCAACAACATTGTCTTGTACTAGAGTAAGTACATCATTGGTATTTATTTTCATTAATTTGATGGAAGTCCAGATTGTTTACCTTTAATCTGGGCAGACGGTCGACCGTTCACTATTTTGATACGGTTGGGTCTCTTAATTCGATTCATTTGGGAGAGAAATTGTTGTTAAACCGACGCATTTGTATATTTTATAGGTTTATGTGTGTATTTAAGATAAAACCTTAGATACACACCATTAGTAATTTAATAGCCTCGATTTATTTTGCTATTTTTGACATTTAACACAGTGCTCTTTAGATTTGCAAATTAAATTGAGATTTCAGAGTATAAGCAAACTAATAGAATATATTTGGAGTATAGTGCCGTAGTTACATGAAATTGACCTTAAATAAAAAAACTATTCTAATTTTAATTAATGGCTTGCCGTTAATCATGAGAGTTTGGTTGATCCTTCGGTAACCTGACCCATTCGGTTAAAAACAAAGAAAGAATTGAGTAACATCGCGTTTGCTGTGAGGCTGTTGGACCGCTCAGGCCGAACCGGTTTGCTGAAGAATGACTCTCCCACGGTTAAGTTTAATAATAATATTTTCAGACAACTGACACACAACGCCATCTAGTTTCATACTAAACAGAGCTTGTGCTATGAATGATATAATTGCTAATGTGAAAGTCAACAGGCTTCGATACTAACATACTTCACAAATGTGCAGCATTGACTGCGTCAAAAAGAATTACTTAATACAATATGACAGGAAACCACATGATTTTTGTGGATTAGGCGTGAAAGCGTAACAAACAAGCCAAATCATTTTCACATTTATGATGGAAGTAGGGATGTATGGTAGTAGTGATATAAATGTAATCACGCCAATTAAACGCCAGTATTTTGCTGACTATAATTTTAGTCTCACTCACGTAATAGAAATGGTGACAGATTAAGAAAACGGAGAGTCACCACCCCTATTCATCCCATGGGTGTCGTAAGAGCCGACTAAGGGAGAAAACTACGCAGGACAACAGCACTGCAAAGAGAAGGAAAACTGGACAAAAACCCGATACCAACTCGTCTGACCAGCGTGGTGTAGTAGGCCAAAACCTCTTTTCTAAGAAGAGGCCTATGTCCAGCAGTGGACTATTAAAAGCTGTTGATTACGTAATAGATTTCAAATCTATTACGTATCATCTATTATATAATATATTATACGTATATCATTATCTATTACGTCTAAGTCTACACAGTCTATTCCATACATTTCCATACTTTTATATTTTTAAATAGTTACATGTCAAACATAAATTACAGTCCGACACCGAACAAATTATCGTCGTCATCAAAAAATATTTCTCCTGAATCGGAATCAAACCCACGACTACTAGCTTAGCAGTCAAGATCATCTACTACTTCACCAACAAGCTACATATATACCTAATATTTAATAAACCATTTTACAAGTTTTAAATTTAATTATATAAAAATAAGTGATTATTAACGGATATTGTTTCACAATTATCAAAATACAAAAAAAAATACATTTCTTTATTCTCGAAACACATTTACGTCATTTTGATAGATACCAGTCGTATTTTAACCCTATATTGATATGGGTACAAAGGGCCCCGTTTATCACACGAAATGGGAAGGTATTTGGGAAGCAACGGGGGGTTAGAATCGGCGTATGAAACGTGATTCCGGCTCTAAAAATATTCTGTGATTGTGTGTTATAAGAAGGCCTAATAAAAAAATATGGCACGTTCAGTTTTTTCCCTTTCTTGTAGATAGTGGGCAATTTGAGGAGGAATTTATTGATGTATTCAAAAATAAAATGTACATTATTTATGTGATTACCTAAATAGGAACCAAATTTATAAAGGGATAGTTATAAGCGAAGTGGAAGAGTCCTGCTTTAGCAGGAATGATACCGCGACCGGTCTCACACATAACCAGTGTTAAGCAATTCATTAGCTGCTATTTCCGTGAGTGAGAGATTATCAGAACCTCCTCCTCCTCCATCTCTAAACCTGGGGAGAGCACACACTTGTATCTCTTAACTTGCAGGTGTCTATAGACACTGGTCAGTAATAATAATAATATTTCAAACATCTAAAACACAACGCCATCTAGTTTCAGCTTAGCACAACTTGTATTATGAAAACTAGATTGACTGATACAATACTTTTTTTTTGTAAATACATAAATATTACACATACAAAACACCCAACCTCGAATGAATCCAACCCGAGACCTCAGCAGAGTAGTCGCATACGCTACCATTGTATCACCGAGGCAGTCACTTACTATCCTTTGACCAGTCTGCTCGTTTGCCCACCATAACATATGAAACCCTGTTACCTTTGTACTCATATTTGCTAAGAAAACAATAACTTCCAGTAACACCGTAAACTCAGTGAATAACATCAAAGATTGAGATAATTATCTGCACACAGTTTATGCTGATCGTTTCAAAACTCAACCGAAAATGCTGATAACGTGAAACTCGAGATTTTGGCAGCCGACTCTTGCACCCCTCTGTATCTTTCTTATATTCAATATTGAGGATAAGACTTGGAGTATTTACCTATAGAGAGGGTTGAATGTTTTACATATAATAATAACTTAAAATATTGGCCTTTAAACTTTTGTACGTTGAAATTACGTGTCACACAGATATGGTAGGTATTCTTTGGTCTGCGGACGGGTCCCAAACTAAGGCATTCCTAAAACATACAAGGTTTTAATACAATGTAAATTATATTCGACGTTTTAGGTTATTCTTTAGCAGAACAGTCAATTCTCTCTATAAGTATATACTCAAAAAAACTGTGAAAGAAAACTGAAAAAATATTATTTAATAGAGCCAATTCAGGGCAGATCCTGTGGACCAGGGACTTCCTTTCTAGGGTATACCTGGTTCCCCGGCTATTAGTACCCGAGACGGCGTGCGGTTTTAGTCGAGTCCGACATGCTACCGACAGGTGGTATCCGAGGGGATTTCCGCACGGAAAAAAAAAAGGGCAGATCCTGTACTTTGATAACCAGACTACTAATAAACATACTTATACCCATATATAAATACACACATACATCACACACATCAACATCCTTTAATAGTCCAGAGCTGAACATACGCCTACCTCAGAAAGAAGTTTTTAGCCTATTATACCCACGCTGGCCAGACGGGTTGTTATAGTTTTTGTGTCAAGTTCCCACCCAACTGTATCATCATGTTGTCATCGTGGGGGGCTTGCGCGGGTCATTGATCTCTAAGGCTATGCCGGTAGAGACTCTAGACTAAAAAGGATACGTCAGCCGGTATGAGGGGGTTCCGTGATGCCTCTCGAGCCTATCCTCCATAACGGGTCTTACCGCCGCGATAATCATTATCCACTGCACCAAAATTTTTACAATTGTTTTATAGACTGGTACTGTAGAACAAACAGTCCTCTTTTAGAGTTCTTCGCTAGACCATTGTTAAATATAAGCTCCCTACAGACCCTCATAACGAACGAATGTCCCATGAATCGTTTTAAAAAATACTACCCAACAAAAACAACAAAAAAATATCTGCGGTATCGTCCGCAACAGTCCAGTGTGTGATCGAGGTAGGCAAGGCAATAAATCTTTGTACACTGGCTTCGTTGGTTTACATCCATTTTATTTTTACAACTACCCTCCATTTTATAGGCATTTTAATCACTCGAAACTTTGGATGAAACAACGTGTATTGATTAAACTATATAAGATATATAGTGATTTCTTAATTATTTAATGGCATAGGCGTAAACGAGCAGACGGGTCACCTGATGATAAGTGATTACCGCCACCCATGGACACCTGCAATTCAAGAGTCACCTTGCCGCCCTTTGAGTCCTCTCCTCCAGAACCGGGGTGGGGGGGGGGGGGGGTTGAACTCCGGTAAACTTACTTAACAACAAAAACAACGCAAAAGTTGCTTAACAGCGATTTTTTGTGAGGCCGTGGCATCACGCCGGTCGCGCCCTTTTTCTACTTTTTTCAAAAAGGAAATCCATGGTACCCTGACGTACCACGGGCCATCTACGGCGTGTAGATGACCCCCTCCTGTGTGGAAATGCCGGTCGAGCCCTGGCCCATATGTGCCAAAGTATTGCTCTCAAAACTTATTATAATATTGCAAACCCAATGTTATGTTATTAAAGATAGAGAGATAGATAGAATAGATCTTATTTCGATATTTGTGATGAATTTTCTTTCGTATTCAAAAATATGTATTTCATTTTGTTCCAGGTGAAACTATTACACCAGATAACATCACCATCACCCGCGTGTTGCCTCTCACAGTGACTAGAGAGGAGTTGGGAGGAGAACTGACTTGTATTGTATCCTCAGCTGCATTGGAAGCGGATATCGTGAAGAAAATAAAGCTGGATGTTAGAGGTAAGTGTATATAAATGTGACAGAATAATACCAGATCTTACAGACTTTATCAATCAGACAGAGTATATTAACTAGACGTAAGCATGATACAAACTTTGTACTATGGGGGGGCCTGGCAATCTGCATGACAGGGTTCCCTAGTGCAGATGCCGGTCACCCACAATGATCTTGAGTAATTACTGTAATAAGCTAGTATTAAGTAATCTTTGTGGAAGAGAAAATAAACTTTATCTTATTTTATCTAATCAGAGATCATTAATTCTTCACGTAATTTAATGCTGACAGGCAGTTAATGAAGGTATTCTAAAGGCAAGGTGTTCTACGTAGAAGCAGCCTACGTCGTAAAAGACATATTAACTAAATTTATAGAATGCAATGGTAATTTCAAGACCCATTTTTTCGATAACCTCAAGATTTAAATAACCGATAAATGTATTTATAATATTCTAAGCCAGTTGGGAATACGTACTGTTATGCGGGTCCTTGAAGTTAGCTTTTTAAAAAAAAGTATTTAAAACACTGAAGGTTATTTATTTGAATTAAATAAAGGAAATATAAATATTTAGGAATTAGAATAATGAATCCGACCCGAACCGAGTTCGATTGTAGACTGACGCTCCGATGCGCTCAGGGTTTATATCGGTTTTATCAATGTTGGCTCAGCAAGACCAGGGTCTGTTAGTCAGACCTAATGCCTACATCGACGGGGTGTAACAACCCCCCGCGGAAAACTGAAGTTCGAGGAAAAATCGAAGTTCAGGAATAGTTAGGCGACTTCCCTCAGTCGCGGCAATGGTAGGGGTGAATCCCTACTTTGGAAATTGTCATCGTTATCGGTAGAGGTCGGATTTGAATTTGAATTGTTAAATCTATTCTTATATTTATAAACAATTTTACTTAATTTAAACAATACATAAGAAAATACAATACAAGAAATAATTGATGTGAAAACAGTGTGACGAGTCTCGTAACTCGAAAATACAGGGTTTTTATTTATAATATTCTTGAGGTCGGTAAACAAGTTATCATAATGAGTTTTTACAGTTAGATCATCCAAATCTATGTTATTTAACTTAACAGGAATAACATTATTTAATAAACTACCATTTAATACACAACATGCGTCATTAATAATGTTAAAATCTAAATTAGGACTAGGGACACTTATATTAATAGAGTTAATAGGGGAAATAAGTCTTGCGCTTTTTGTATACACTGTGCACTGATTGGGGGTTTGAAGGATTCCGGTGCCGACCACTATTATCTCTTTTAGTTCAGTGACACCACACTCTATAGAGATTTTGTTTGGACACGATTGCACAAAAATCCATCGATTATTAGTGACTGGTTTCCAGATGTCGAGTTCACCAGATATTGTCTTCGTGTTACACTGCACAGGAATGCCACTGAGTGTTTTAGTTAACAGTTCGCTTTCACATGTAGGGTGACTATTCGTCGACAACACCGTAGATATTTCACAGAGATAGAACTCAAAGCTCACAACTTTACATTTACTTAAATCACTTAAATTACAGAAACTTAACTTATCCTTAGACATAGCAATAAAAGGATTTGAGGGAGATATAAGACTGTAAGTGTTAGGACTGTCTCCTCCGTGAGGAGTAGGTAGAGGTATACTGTGATACAAGTTAAAATCGTCATTAGTAACTAAAGGAATTTGTAACACAAAAACTAACTTATTATTATAATAAAGACAAGCAACCTTGGATATACTTAATATTAAGTGTATATTATCTAAGCTTAGAGGAATAGGTATTTCAGTGTTCCCAGGTAGGTGTCTATCGTTATCGACGAGCTCTTTGTGCAGTTGCGCTGGGGTTAAAATATTTGGGTGCAGTATATTTTGGCTAGTTAAAATTATGGCGTTGATCAAATCTTCTAATTGGAAGGATAATATTAATAGGGAACTCTCGAGGTTGGCTAATACGGAATGGACTTTATTTTGGGTTAGTAGGGTGTTAGTTATTTCGGTAAGATTATGTTCGTTTATCAGGATTTTATTTATAGAGTCGCTGAGAATATCTTCATTATTTTTTATGGTAGTCATTGTCTGTTTAAAGGATTCTAGTGTGGAAGTAGTAATTAAGATATTTTCTTTCATGAGTTCTGCGATTTTCTTCTGATCTTGTTGGACTATCTCTATGGCGGAGTCATATTTTAAGGCGTCATCTTCATCAAGGGTCCCGAAAACGTGTTTAAACACGGTCCCTATACCACCAAACCATGCTGACCGTTTGTTTCGTTTTGAAATTAAGTGAGAGATATAGTCATATTCACGTTTTATGTCTTGGAAACGCACTGTGAGTGGGGATAGGGTGTTCTTACATTCTGGGTCATTAGTTTTATGACACATTAATCTAACAGATGTTATAATTTCATTTAAGTTGGTTAAATGCGGACTTATATAAGAGATATCTACGTAACTAACTATATTTAATTCGCCTCTGGTGATTTTAAGTTTGCCTATGGTGTCGAAGAAGATGCCAGAGTTAGAAGGGTATGGCTTGACAAAGTCTGGATGCGCATAAGTTGAAGCACTGAAAAGAAAATGAAATAAATGAATATTTCTTTTGAATTTAAGTAGTAGTAGTAGAAGTAGAAGGTTGTGAGATTTCTGTAGGTTTGATTTCGTCAAAATGGTGTCTTATGTGTCTTCTGTTAATCAGGAGTGTGACAGTGTTGTTGTTGTGTACCTTTATTATTTTGTATGGTCCTTTCCAAATGGGAGACAGAGCTTTTCTGAGTCTTAAATGATTTCTAAGATAAACGAAATCACCGGCTTTGTATTGAGGCGGTCTTCTGGTTCGGGAATCGTAGTAAGTTTTCGATGTTTGTTTGGATTTTAGGATATTTTCGTGAGCTTTTTCCCTAGTGTATTTAAATTTGTGGCTTAGCATTCGGATATAGTCTGAGTATGTTGTACCGGCGCTACTTTCGTATACAGAACTGGGTATAAAGGGTTTGTGTCCGAAAACTAACTCATATGGACTGAATTTAGTAGTAGAATGTATCGTTGTGTTATATGTGAGTATAGCAGTGTAAACGTATGTGGGCCAGTTATCTTGATTTTGGTTTACGAAGGATTTCAAATATTCTTTCAGTGTAGAATGACTGCGCTCCAGAGCGCCTTGTGTTTGAGGGTGGTAAGGGGACGCCCATAGCTGTTTGATTTTCAGAAATCGACAAGTGGTTTTGAAGAGATCTGAAGTGAAGTTAGTGCCTTGGTCAGTGAGGATTGACTTGGGAATTCCGAAAAGGGAGATAAAATGAATTAGGCAATCTGCTGATTCTTCTGCTGTCGTACTACGAAGAGGCTATAGAATATTTAGTAAGATCATCCTGCAGGGTCATAATGTATTTAAGTTTTCCGGAGCCGGATTCGGGTAAAGGTCCTACTAAATCTAATGCGACTCTCTGGAATGGAGCAGTTGCAGTAGTGGTAATTTCCATGGGAGCTCTATTGAGTTTCCTTAATGCTTTGTTTTCTTGACACATTTTACATTTCTTAACATAGTCTTCTATGTCTCCTCTCATTCCTTTCCAGTAATATTGTTCTTTTATCCTACTGTATATACGTGTTGAACCTAAATGACCGGCTACAGGGATATCATGATTTTCCCGTAAAATTTTGGATCTTTCGCTAAGAGTTGGGTAGATTGTTTTATTTAGATAAATGTGTATACAGATTTTAGTATTGTGGAATACGTAGGTGAGGATATTGTAAATTTTAGTGTATGAATGTTGATCGAAAGGGTTTTTAAAATCCGAAACTGCAATATCTAATACAGGTCCGTTTTGTAAAATAAGATCTCTTACTCGTTTCAGGCTATCGTATATATCAGGGTAAGACGATTCGTCGAAATGGTGTACCTTGGTAAACATTAAATAAATTTCCTTGTCTGCGAATTTAGTGTTGAGAAATGAATTCGGTTCCTTTTCCGCGTTAAGGATTTCATCTCTATTTGGGTTGTCGTTTAGAATTTCAGAGAGGTAGGGATTGGATTCGTCCAGATCAATGGAAGTAGGAATTAGAATTATTTTATGGGGGAATTTTAATAGATTCTCGTTGTGTTCTTTTAGGACAGTGTCAAAAACGCTCTCTTTGTTACTAATCGTTTTTAGGAATTTGGAATAGTCGTCATTATTCAGGTTCATGCTAGGTCGTTGAATGCGGTCTGTCGGTGAAGGGATATTGAGACCTTCGAGATCTAGGTCGAGATCTGCACTTCGAGGGCTTAAGTCTAGAGGGCCTAAGTCTATGAGTTCTGGTTCTACTTCTGGGGTTAACGGGAAGTCTGGAACAGTACTGGGGCCAGGAATTGGGTTTTGATAAGGGTTTACCGCAGTATCTGAAGTAGGGTTACGACTGACATTTTCATTTAATAAGTTTTCATCATCGAAAGTAGTAGGAATATGAGATGGTAGTTCTGAAAGTGGATCTTCTAGTGGATTTTCGGAAATGGGATTCGGTGATAAGGTATCGGGGACTAGTAATTCTCCTTCTATAGGGTTGACCGGGAATCGGGATAGCGCATCGGCGTTGGAATTTATTTTGCCTCGTTTATGTACTATATTATAATCAAATTCTTCTAATTTTAAACGCCAGCGGATAAGCCTTGAACCTGGGTCCTTGCAGTTAAACAACCACTGTAGGGGTTTGTGGTCAGTGACTATAGTGAATCGGTGTCCATAAAGATAGGGTCGGAATGCCTTAGTGCCGAAAACTATTGCGAGACATTCCTTTTCGGTAATGCTATAGTTGCATTCAGCTTTGTTGAGTGTTCGAGATGCGTAAGCTATTGTACGGTCTTTTCCTATTTGTCCTTGGGAGAGGATGGCACATACAGGGACGGCCAGCCGATTCGGTCGCGGCCTATAGGCCCATCGTGCTGCTGGACGAGGCGGGCAAATTGTTTGAGAGGGTTCTTTCTGCCCGCATCGTCCGGCACCTCTGCGAGGTGGGCCCCGATCTGTCGGAC